TGGAGACGGAGCCCCCAGTACAGCTTGGAATGCACATTGGAAGACCTCCTCTATTTGATGGACATCACTATGATAAATGGAAGCTACATATGGAAACGTTCCTTCAGGCCACTGACTTTGACCTATGGGTAATTTTCAGTCATGGACCAACTTTCCCAACCAAAATGGATGGTGAAGGTAATAAGTACAACCAGAGAGAAGAGGAATACGGTGATGAAGATTGTTAGCTAGTCCAAAAAAATGCTAAAGCAAAGGACCTGCTTTACAAAAGCTTGCCCAAAAATATTATCTACAAAGTGTCCTCTTGTATCTCGGCCTATGATATATGGAGGACCTTGGAAGTTGACGTTGGAGATGAAAACATCGAAGTGGCACTGATGGCGATTGAAGAAAGTCAAAAAAAAAAAGAAGAATTGATTGGAATGATGGCCATGAGTGATTCAGAAACTGAAGATGAAACAAAGCAGGTAAGTATCTTTAACTTAAAAGAAAACATTCATGCTATGTCTAAAAAACTGATGGCCATAATTGTGACCATGATGAGTGAAATAGATAAAATGAGTGCTGGAAATGATCAGTTAATAAGCAATCTTTCATGTGTCAAACTTGATCTCAAAGATATTGAATCTGACAAGCTAATCTAGAAGGGCAGGTCAAAGACCTTAAAAATCAGGTTCTTGAGCTCACTTCTAAAAATGAGAAGTTCACTGATATACATGGTAAGAAAAAAATGAGTGATCTGCAGGATAAGCTTGAAAAGGAATTAAAAAGGGCTAAAGATAATATTTGTGACGTTGAATGTAGGAATAAAGTCCTGCATGAAAATTTAGCAAAGGTAAATTATGAACTATCTAGACAAAGCAAATTGCATAGATCTTCAGATGCCTTAGTTTGGCAGAATGAAAACTGCAGCTCTAACAAATTAGGAATTGGCTACGGAAAACCTGTTCCCAAGTATGATCCAAAGTATGTAGGAATTTTTGATAATAAAATGTGCACTCATTGTGGAAAGGTAGGACACTTTAAAGATACTTGTTCTGCCCTAATTCATGCTCAATTTAGAAACGCCTTTAGTCTTGCTAAAAATGTAAGAAGGAAGAGGAACCAAAAGCAAAGCCTTTTGTCCATACTAAGTTGATTAAGGTTAATAAGAAAATAGTTGCTAATCCTCTTCCCTTCTGGGCAAGAAGAGATATGATTCATCCTTTTTCAAACAAAAAGGGACCCAAGCTTGTTTGGGTTCCCAAGACTAACATGTGATTTTTGGTGCAGGCTAAAGTGAGAGGGAAAGATCAAGACCGGTATCTAGACATTGGATGCTCAAGACATATGACTGGAGAAAAGAAAAACTTTCTCTCACTGATAGCCTTCCAAGGAGGGAGTGTGTCATTTGGAAATGGAAAAAAGGGCCAGATAATAGGTATTGGCAAGGTTGGTAAGTCATTCTCTCATGCTATATAAGATGTGTATTATGTGGTAGGCCTTAAACACAATCTTCTTAGCATCTCTCAAATGTGTGATAAAGGAAATGAAGTAAAATTCAATTCCAAAATCTACATTGTCACTAAGCTTGCTACTGATGAAGTTGTGTTAAAAGGTAAGAGACATAACAATGTTTACAAGATATCTATTATATCTCTTCCTGAGAGAGAGCACACATGCTTAAGTGTAGTGGAAGATGACCCACTACTATGGCATAAAAGACTGGGTCATGCCAGTCTTTCTCAACTCAACAAGTTGGCAGCAAAGGACTTGGTCCTTGGTCTACCAAAAGTTTAGTTCTCCTCAGACAAGGTTTGTGATGCCTGTGTTAGAGGGAAACATGTAAAGTTACCTTTTAAATCTAAAAATGTTATCAGCACCTCCAAACCTCTAGAACTCCTTCACATGGACCTATGTGGACCAATGAGAGTGAGGAGCAGAGGAGGTAAGAGGTATGTCTTTGTCATTGTAGATGACTTCTCTAGGTATACATAGACTCTGTTTTTGAGATCTAAAGATGAAACTTTTGATGCTTTCTGTGTATTTTTCAGAATGATTCAACAAAAATTGGGTTGTAATGTAATAAGTATAAGAACAGACCATGGTTGAAAATTCCAAATTCCTTGAGTCTTGTAACTCAATTAATCATAATTTCTCTACACCTAGAACCCCACAACAAAATGGGGTTGTAGAAAGAATAGTCCTAGAAGACATGGGGAGGACCATGATGATTGCTAGTGGACTGCCTAAGAGTTTATGGGCTGAGGCAGCCAATACTGCTTGTTACTTGATGAACAAGCGCATGGTCAAACCTATTCTTGAGAAAAATCCCTATGAGTTACTTCGAGGGAAAAAATCCCAACATCACTCACCTGAGAGCATTTGGGTGCAAATATTTTGTGTATAATAATGGCAAAGAAGATCTAGGTAAGTTTGATAACAGAAGTGATGAGGGAATTTTCTTGGGTTACTCTGCACATAGTAAGGCCTATAAAGTTTTTAATAAAAGAATTGTGTGTAGAAGAAAATATTCATGTTATTTTTTATGAATCTAACAATTTGGTTGAGAAAGTTCTGAAGAATGAAGACTATGACATAGGACTCACTGGTGATGGAGATCATAAGGAATCTGAACCTCAATCTGAAGACGGATCCGGAGACCACAAGGAAATCGACAATGATCATGAGGAACAAGAAGAAGAGAGAACTACTATGACTACTAACCAGACTGATGAAGCTATACCTACTGAACATGTTCCTTTGGGTCACTCATTGGGTGAATCATATTTGGGTATGTAGATGAGGCCATGGAAACATCAAAGTTCACACCCTCTTGAGAACACCATCTATGTTCCAAATGTAAAAGTACAGACCAGGTCATCTCTGAGAAATCTATGTGCACTCACAACATTTCTCTCACAGGTTAAACCTAAGAACATCAAGGAAGCTCTAAAGGATTTGGATTGGATTATAGCCATGCAAGATGAGCTAAATCAGTTTGAAAGAAGCAAGGTCTTGCACTTGTTACAAAGACCCAAGAACAGAACTGTCATATGTACCAGATGGGTGTTCAGAAACAAGCTGGATGAACAAGAAAATATCACAAGGAACAAGGCCAGACTAGTGGTTTAGGGATACAATCAAGAGGAGGGCATTGACTATGATGAGACGTTTGCACCTGTACCTAGAATGTAAGCTATAAGAATGTTAATAGCCTTTACTACACACATAGAGTTCACCTTGTATCAAATGGATATATAAGAGTGCATTCTTGAATGGTTATCTGAAAGAGGAAGTGTTAGTTAAAAAACCTCCTGGGTTTGAAAGTGAAGAATTCCCTGACTGTGTGTTCAAGTTAGACATAGCCCGATATAGACTGAAACAGGCTCCAAGAGCTTGGTATGAAAGACTCTCAAAATTCCTCTTAACCAACAACTTTGTAAGAGGAAAGGTGGACAACACTTTGTTTCTAAGGAGCAAGACAAGAATGTTCTAATTGTGCAAGTATAAGTGGATGACATTATCTTTGGGGATACTAATGAAGTAATGTGCAAGGAATTTGCTGAGATGATGGGGAATGAGTTTGAAATGAGCATGATGGGTGAACTGAACTTCTTCATGGGGATGCAAATCAAGCAAACACCTACTGGAACTATGATACATCAGCAGAAATACATCAAGGAACTACTGAAGAAATTCAACATGGACTCCTCTAAGTCCATTGACACTCTCATTGCCATTGCAACAAAGCTGGACCTTGATGAAGAAGGGAAAAGTGTTGAACATAAACTATATATAGGAATGATTGAGTCAATGTTGTATCTCACAGCAAGCGGGCCGATATTGTATTCAGTGTGGTACTGTGTGCAAGATTTCAGGCAAATCCCAAGGAGTCTCACCTGAAGGTTATCAAGAGGATACTAAGATATCTCAAAGGGACTCCTGACTTATGCATATGGTATCATAGAGGGTATAACTTTGATCTAATTAGTTATGCTGATGCTGACTATGTAGGTTTTCATGTTGACAGGAAAATCACTTCAGGAACATCACATTTTCTATGTTCTTGTCTGGTGTCTTGGGGAACAAAGAGCAGAACTCAATGGCTTTATCCACAGCTGAGGCTGAATAAGTGGTAGCAGCATCTTGATGTGCTCAGTTTTTGTGGATAATACAACAGCTAAGGAACTATAGTATTTTTGTTGATTCTATTTCCATTTTCTGTGACAACACTAGTGCTATAAACATTGCTAAAAATTCATATCAGCACAAAAAAACCAAGAACATTGACATTAAACACCATTTTCTCAAAGACAGTGTTGAAAAAGGAAATATCTCAATTAACTTTTATAAAACTGACGACCAAATTACAGATATTTTTACTAAAGCTTTGAGTATGGATCACTTTAAAAGGAATAGACTAGAACTAGGTCTAATCAATACTTTCAACTAGTTAAACTCCAATGATTGGCTAGAAAAAATATAATTAGATGTAGATAGTTAAGTACAATGTGTTTGATTCAATCTCGTGCTTGTATAAAGCACACACACCTTCTTAGAAAAATATGGTTGTTAACTATGTTGTATGATACTAATGTATAGTGTTGAAGCTTTATTGCAGAAACAAGTAAGGAGTTACTAAGGAGTTGGTTCTTCGACTCAGGTACGTGCCATCTTGTCTTAATTTAGTGGGACTTAATATCCTAAATTATTGTTATGCTCAGACTTCTAATCTTGTTAGTATCACTTCTAGTTGCCATCTAATCAAAGAGTAAGGGGGAATCCTAGAGAAATTGGAGTTTAATTACTCCTGAAATTCCAATAGTCAAAGTAACAGTTATAAGAGTCCCGTTAAACTCAAATTCGATCCCCCTCTCTCTTCCAGTCAAATCAGGAGTTACGTCTTTAAAAGCCCCTTATGATCAGCTTCTTAGACCTCACTGTTCCTCTCAAACCCTAAGCAAGAATCAAGAAATAATTCTCTCTTATCCCTTCATCGATTTTCTTCGATGATCACCATGCCTAAATCTAGCCAAACCCCTTCTAAAGCTAAATCATCATCCAAGACTGAAGACAAATCCAAGAACATGAAGCCCAAATCAAAGAAAAGTGTCAAAGCATCAAGTGAACCCGCACCAACACCTGCTCCTTCTCCATCTATATCCTCCAATGTACCTATACCATCATCCATTGTTCCTGATGCTCTCACCATCCCCACCTCTACTGGACCTTCACTTTCAAAACCAACTACCCATGCATCTGTTCCTACTTCAAAAAATACCTCTAAGTTAACCAAGATCAAGGCTACCTCAAGAAAGTCTGTCAAGAATGTTAAGGTAGTGCCTGATGCTACTTCTCAAGTAGACACAATGGTCAAGGAAGCTATGGTTCAGGGGGAATCAATGTCAATCACTACAAGTCAGGTATAACTCCCTCCTTCAAAATTAGATGTTCTAGTATCCGCGATAGATGCTGCACCTTTAGACACTCTTCCACCCATAAGTGATAAATCACAAGTCCAGGAACTCACTGTAGAAAAGATTGCATGAACTCTGGAGAAAGAGGTAGATACCACTATTGTGGTGCCTGTGGTTGAGGGGGAAGAGAGTAAAGAACCAGTGCAAAAGGAGGCATCTGATGGCCTTTCATTCAGTTGGGCAGAAGATGATGATGATAATGGGGGTGAAAAGGAAGAAGGAGTTGTGGGCAGTTATGAGGAACATACTACTCAAGACATCTCTAATGAAGAGGAAAAGAGTGAGAATAAGGGAGATTTTGGTAAAGAGAAGGAGAGTGAGATATAAGATAGGTTAGGTTAACAAGTGGATGATTCTGTAGAAGAAGAAAATAATAGTGAAGAAGAGGGTAATTCTGAGAGCGAAGGTGAGGATCAAGAAAAGGCAAGTGAGAGTGAAGGAGTGGATGAATAAAGTGAGGAAAAGAATGAGAATGTGAGTGAGAAATATGAAGGCTCTATGACCATTGAGAACACTATCATAGCCCTTTCAGAAGAATCAAGTGGAGAGAAAAGGGCTGAAGAACCTGGGCCCTTGTTAACTCCCTAGAGCTGAGGAGGTCAGCAGTGATGAATATGACTTGCCCTTGTCTGAGGTAGGGAAGAAATCCAGGAAGACTCATGTAAAAGCAACAAAGTCTGCAGTCCCAACAAGAAAAGAAGTGGCTCCTCCTTCCAGGACTACTCTTACAAAGAGTAAAAGAAAGGTTGTTGATGAACAAATCATTAAGGAGTTCAGAGGTGGCAAGAAGCCAAGGAAGCAAGTTTCAGTTGTGGAACATATGGTTGAATTGGACGGAGAAGATGAGTCTAAGGCTGCTTTGCCAGAAAAGTCCTCCACACAAAAGAGAAAGGTTTCCAAAGCTACAAAAACCGCTACCCCATCTACAAGGGCCAATAGAGGAAAGAAGAGAAAGAATGTGCCAGTTGTGGTTGATAGACTCACAGAGTTCAGGAACAGAAAAGTGCTCATGGGAAGATTCTTGCAAACACTGATGAAAAAGGGATGGCTCAACTAGTTGAAAAACTTGAGTTACATGGATGGAAACACATGTTTGTCAAAGCTTTCTCCCCTGTGTGTGTTACTGTTGTGGTGGAGTTCTATGTAAACTTCCAATTTGATCAAAATGTAGTCAAAATTAAGATAAGGGGGTTTGAAATGGAGTTTGATACTGAGGAGCTGGGGATGCTTCTGAACATTTCCTCTTTAGGATTTGACAATTACCTAAAGAAAAAGTGGTCATCCATAGACAATGATGTTGACACAGGAATTGTAGTAACAGGGAAGTTCTCCCAAAAGTTTGAAGTGGATNAAAGGTGTGAGAGAAGGCATGAGGCTACACTGTTAGACATGGCTGTAATGGAACTGCTTGACACTGGTAGACCTATCAATCTCCCTAGCCTGATGATTCAGCATATGGCAAGGGGCTGCAGACACTTCCAAGCCTAAGCATACTATTCCTTATGGCTTCATGTTGACTAAGCTTTTTGACAAGCTCAACATTGCCTTTATAGAGCTTAAGTATGGAAATCACAATGATATTTTGGATATTTTTACCCTCAAGCAGTGTGGATATGAGGAGATCAAGGCTAGAGGACCAACATGATCTGCTATTCTACTTGGAAGCAGCAGAGTAGCAGAGCTCAGTAATAGGTTGGAGTTGGTTGTTGAGAAGAATGCCAAGCTTCGTGAAAACAATGATGAGTTGAGAAAAGAAACTAGGCAACTTAGGAAAGCTCATCAGAGATAGGGAAGCTCATGCCCAACAGATTGTCACTCTTGTGAAAACATTGACGCCCTCTACCTCTCATCCATGAATATGTTCCTTCCAAGTGTCCTTTGTCTCTTTTGCTATCACAGTGATGCTTTAGTCTTTTTTCTCTTTCTATTCTAGTCTGAGTAGGTTGCAGTATGTTTAGTTTATTTTGTTCTAATGGTTTAAGACAAGGTCCTGGGCTTATTTTGGCACTACTAAATGACTTCTCTTATACTGTTTTAATGCATCGTACAATATTGGATCATCAGCTTAGATTGTTTGCTTTGATAATTCTTGAGCTTGTGCTATAGCCTGTATGGATTTGAATCTTATATTAACTGTGCTTAATATGTCTAACATCTTTTTTATTTTTTTCGATGATGCCAAAAGGGGGAAGATAAGATTGGGGGTGTTGTTGTGAATATGTTTGTCTATGGTGTAATGTGCATGTTGATTGATCGCGACTTGTTGTGATTACCTGGTTCTAGTGTGTACAAAGTTTGTCATCATCAAAAAGGGGAAATTTGTTGAGTATTGAGATTTTGATGATTAACAAAGTTTGTTTAGATGCAATGTTCGGATAACCAGGTCCTCAACGTAGCTGCTTAACTGTTCTAAGAACCAGCTCCTCAGGGTAAAGGAGCAGCTCCTCAGGGTAAAGGAGCAGCTCCTCATGTTGATGATTGAACGTCTGTGCAAGACAGTAACTTTATCTCAAAGGTACCTAGGTCTGAGTTTGGTGGAAGAAGACTGCTACATATGATAAGGATTGTTGCCCAAGAAGATACAAATAAATTAGTAAGTGACAAGAGTCCCAAAACTTGTGGAGCCCTTGGAACAGTAGGAGTCCTATCAAACGAGAAACTGACTATGCATAGGACTCCTAGAAGATCTTAAAGTCCATCGTTTAAATACTATCTATTTTGGACTTGTGAGATCATCCTTTCACATATCAACTGAACAACTACATTTTATATACTCTAGTCGAGTACCAGTGTTGTGTTCTTCTTAAGTCAGTCTAGTGAATGTGTTTTAGGAAATTGAGTTGTAATCAAAGTGTCACAAACAATTAGTGAGTTAGAGCGAGCGTTTGATTTACAAGTTAGAGTAACTTGTAAATCAAATAGTCGGAGTACCGGAGAGTATTGAATTATAGTTTTGTAATTGATACATTTTGGCTCATTGTTCTAGTGGAGTTGAAGTTGAAAATCCTACGCAGTAGGTCGTGATTTTTGCACCTTTTGAGCCGGGTGATTTTTCACGTAAAAATCGATATGTTTACTTTATTGCTTATTTTACTTCTCGTTTAAGGAACATGGTAAAGAACTAAGTTCTTTAGTAATTCATACGGGCACTCAAACTAACATATTTTCTGTAAATGGATCGGGCTTATAGACCACCATTTCAGAAAATGCTTTAGCCACTGTGTCAAGATCAACATGGTACTTCTTGAACCAACAAGAGTAGTCATTTTCCATCACAAAGACATCAAAATTTGATGCATTATACTCTGTATAATCAATAGCATGCAACTTCCCCGAAGTAGTTCAAGTTTCGACCACATGCACTCTGAAGTGGAGGCATTGGAAATCTTCTGATACCCTTCTCATAAACATCATAACATACTGAAGTTTCTGTGTAGTCTGTAGGCCAGTGAAGTATACCATTCAAGAAAACACCCTCAGAAAAGCTCGTACCAACTGGACCGACGAATGGACATCCAGAGTATCTCCAAGTTTTGGTCTCAAAGGTGTATGTTTCAATATGAAATATAATGTTTGATCTATACTCACCATAGATGTTGATAACTTGGCCATATGGTGTCTTAGAAAGATCAAATGTCAAATTCAAGCATGAAATTCTTGGATATTTATCTAGCCGATTTGGATATGGGAATGTTTAAAAATGCTCTATAGTTGGATTGTATACATAGTATTGTAAACTAGATACACTTGTAAGGGATCGACAAAGAAATAATAAACCGCCACAAGATTGTAATATTTCAACTCCACAAGAATATTTAATAAAATCAAGGCATTGAAGAGGTACTACTGGATTTTGTTTAGGTTGTATAAGGCATATATAAGTATACTTGATGTTGAAGTTACCCTTTAAAGATAAGATCATAAAGAGACCAGAGATACGCCTAGGCTTCCATAGGGAAGAGAAATAAGGACTAGAAATGGTGGAAATCCACCTTTTGGTTACTAATTTGAACATGAAAAGTGATTTTGGTGGGTGGCATAATAGTAGTTTCATTAGAAGATCATCACTACCTTCAATTGCTTCAGCTGAGGACATAGAATTCCCTTTCTCATGCTTGTTTGTTGCCATATATATGCTGCTTGATCAGGCTCTACCTTTGTCAAGATTTCTTTAAATGCCACATAACATAATGTAAAACGGTTTAAGTTATATACGTTGACAATATTAAGAATTTTATAATATCCAACATAATTAATTTAACTCGTTATAAAGTTATCTACTTTATATATAGGGTTATAAGGCCATATTTGTTATAAGAACTTAACCTAATTCAGTTTGAAATAAATTTTAAATTATATCTACTAACATTGTAAATATTGACTATCAATGTCATTTAATATGTGACAGTAGGTTAGTTACTATTTTCACCATGTTATCAGTTTAAAAAAATTTATAGATATTTACCGGCAAATATCTTAAACTCTTTAAATAACATAACTACACATCTTCCTCAAAGTAGGTCTGGAAGAGCAGGTCTCGTGACAGATTCCAACTAAATATAATCATCTTATTCCCCAAAAATTTTGAACTTTTTTTTTATAGGGAAAGAAGATTAATAGAGTTTGAGGAGACTTTTCTGAAGTAAAGAGAAACGCCGAGCAAATTTTATCAATTCAAGAGCATGTTGATCTTAAAGAAATAGAAGCTCTATAAATTATTATTTTTAAAAAACAAGCAGAAGTAGATTACCAGTGATTTGCCTGAGATACCTTCTTGGTTGCTTAACTCGACATTATCAAAGCCTCAACCATGAAAATATTCTTCCAATTTGACTGGCTGCAATTTCTTGGTGCAAACAAGAAAAGAATAAAACAATTATTGTATTATATTGCTAATTATTTGTTCTTATCTAGGTTGCACTTTGTTATTACGGAAAAGATATAAAATTATTTTATAGCACTATGGTTTAATACTTTTCTGAATCTTATGGTCTACAACAACAACAAACCCACTGTATTTCCATAAATAAGATGTGGAGAGGGTAGTATATACGCAAACCTTACCCCTACCTTATAGAGGTAGAGAGGCTGTTTCCGATAGACCCTCGGCTCAAGGAACAGTGGAGATAAAGCAATAAGTAACAAACAATAGTAACAACAATGTATTATTGTAACAGCGCGAATGACGCAGCATATAATAGTAAAGAACCACGAATAAGATAATACAAAAATAGTCCTAGTTCTACCGGTAAGCCTAGGAGAAACACACTACTATCTGTCAACCTACAACCCTAATCCTCGACCTCCACATCTTTCTATCGTGGGCCATATCCTCGATAAGCTGGAGCAATGACATGTCTTGCCTAACTATCTCTTCCCAATACTTCTTAGGCCTACCCCTTCCCTTCCTTAGACTCGCATGGACGACCTCTCATACCTCCTAACCGGAGCATCTATATCTCTCCTCTTCACATGCCCGAAGCATCTCAGCCTCGATTCCCGCAACTTGTCCTCCACAAATGTCACTCATACCTTCTCCCTAATAACTTCATTCCTAATCATGTCCTTCCTGGTATGTCGACACATCAATCTCAACATTCTCATTTCAGCTATTTTCATCTTCTAGACATGGGACTTGTTGTTATGGTCTCAAATATGTCATGCCACTCCTACTAGTGATGCCATTAAAAATAAAATAAAATAAAATATTAAAATTAAAAGTTATTAAATATAGAATGAGATACAAGTCTTATGATAATCGATTAGGAATACCCCACTACGAATAGCTTGCTCGTCGTCCTCCCATAATTGTTGTCCGACAGACTTTTTGGGTGACATTTAGTTAAAAGTAGTTATAAAACGTTTAGCTTTTCTTTTTCCTTCGCACTTACGCTTCAATATTATTCATAAGCGGTGGGATCATCGTAAGATAATAAAAAGAATAGTAGAAGTAGAATTCGTCAAATACACATAAAGTTACGTTATTTCTGTGAACAAAATCTATGCTAACAATATTATATACTGAGACAGAACATTAATAGAGGTAAAATTGGTAAAAACTTCATAATTTGTAAGCGAAGATTAATTGCCACTGAACAACATGAGGAAAGAAAATTTGTCCAGACGGCTACTTACACCAATTCTATGAATATATGACAAGTGATTAATAGGCATCCTTATTCAGTTTACCACTTAATCGTAGTATTATCTTATAAAACTAAATGTTCACCACTCTTTAGGTATAAATTGCGTCGCAAACTAATTTTACAACCTGTTTAGGTTCTCAACTTCTGCTCCAGCATTAAAATTTATACTAAACAGTTGGTTCTCACCGAAATGTCAATTTTGTATTTACACCTATTTACATACTCATTTCTGATTCCTTACCCATTTTTTTTATAACCTATTTCGTTCTTATTACTTCTATATTGAATTTCCATCCTTATTCTAGTAGTGTAATATGCCTGAAAGACCATCCATAGCAAATGCAAGAAAAAGCATTTCAACAAATGCGAAAGTCCTCAATGCCAGCACTAATTTTGTCAATATGACTTATAAATGTCACTGCAATTGCTACACAGGAACTTCATTTTCTGAAATTGAGGTTTCCAGCTCATTGATGTCCTTAATCTTATACAGATCCAATCATAGCATCGTCCTTGAGAAACAAAAATGTGAAAAATGAATATTCCTATGACAAATAGACCTCTGATTCCATTCTAATTGAGTACGTAAATTAATATCACCTCAAAAATGGGGTGTCAGAATCTGCGAAATATTTCACTGTTTCTCCAACAAACAATAATCAAACTGTGCTATCGTGTTGCATCTTCATACCTTGGGAACAGTAATCGGTCCTGATCTTTACGCCATAAGCTACCAAATACAGCTCTGAGCATGACATTGGCAGTTTGATGCAACTGTAACACGCGCAACATAGAAAATGTGTAGAATAAGATGCTGGTAAGTTGAAAAGAACGGATCAACAGTTAGTGTCCTCACTGTAATATCTTTTCTACATGTGATCTGTATAATTCCCGCATGTCCTGCCAGGAGAACTGCCAATATTAGTTGTCCTTGCAGTTTCTTGTATAATTTGAAGACAACCGGGCCTGGGACTGAAAGAAATCAAATGAAGCCCCTGGTCCAAAAGAACGTCTTGTAGCACTAGGTGAATCTGAGAGTAGTGGTTCATAGACAGAAGTACGGTTCTTGGGTTGAGAAATTGATAAAGGTGTAACATCTTTATCCAAGGATCTCGACTGAGGCTCTATATTACCCAGGGTCAATATAGGTCCTCCCATACGTTCGGCTTGCTGAAGTATGTTAATTTTACTTGATCTGTAGGTATACCTAAAGTACTTCAAAGCTAGCACTGGACCCATGCCAGCTGCGACAATGATCTGGAAGGGGGAGGAAAACCAAAATTAGTTCTCTTATATTATAGTTGCTACTTAAAGAGGGAATAACAAAATTAGTTTTAAATAATTGATAAAAAAGGAACCATTTCATGCATCCTATCTAATTAGGTGCAACAAAGCGTTTTATATAACAATTAGGAGCACCTTATCACCTTTAGTATATAGAAAACGAGTAGACTTAAGTAAATACTTTTCCGTCAATTTGTAATCAATTTGTGTGGGAGCATCAACTTTCACAAGGTGTTACACTTTCTAGCCTTGGTGATCTACTACAATGGATCCATATTTAAACAACAAATATTTTTAAAAAAATCACAACTTCACTTAAATGGTAAACATACTAGCTTATTTTTGGATCAGCAAGGAAAGATGATGAAAGAATGATGTCAAGAATAATCTGAAGACTAACTACACCTGTCCCAAGTAACATGACACATTCTTATCTCTGACATTCTAAATTATTTAAACTCAGCAGAGTATCTACACTTTCAAGTGTTAAAGAATTTGAGTTCATGCAACAATTCGAAAAATCAACTCCCAGATAATGTTTCTCCAATTAAATGAAATATCCAACTACAAGTATTTCTTCTGATACTGCTGGTATAATAGTAAATCATCTCCTAAAACTTTGTGCCCTGCCACACTATATTATACAAAATTAGATGGATTAAGTAACTAATCTGAAGCATTATCTCGACTTTTTTACTGTGCTTTGTTAAGCAAGTTCATCATGGTGACAAAAGTAAAATCCAATCCAAAGAGAGCTTCAAATTCAGAAAGTATTTGAACCATAGAGTTGAATACCATCCAAATTAATATTAAATAAATAAAAAACCTTCCAAATTGTGAACACTAGACTACATGGAAAAACAAAAAAGAAAAAGTTTACTTACAAATATAGTAATCCAATATGAGGGCTGTCTGCATAAGCGAAACATTATTGTATACAGGCCAGAGGATGGGAAGGCACTGACAATCCAATTGATGACATAGAAAGCAACAAGATTTCCCCATATGGCGATGTGTTGCAATATTGTGAAAGAGCTGTAAATATTGAGACAAATTTAGTTCCCTAGAGATTTAAGACCAGTATTGCATACTAGCATGCATTGCAAGTACTCATACACATATTTTGTCCAACTAAATAAAGATTATATAGTAACTCACTAGGCAGGTGAAAATGTTACTATCCGTTTTTGCTTTCACTGGTTACCAGTCAAATGTTCTCCTTCATAAGGAGAAAAAGAGACGATCCTTCAAGAGAACTTATCAAAATAATGGTAACAATGATCCTTAGACAATCAGTCTCCATTGTCACCACCCTAATCTTCAGCCAGGCCCACCAGCACTACCCTTTGCCCTCTTCCCATCCAAGTCATTGTCAGTATTGTTAAAGGCACGCTTAAGGAATATAAAACTGAGAGACTAGGTGCAATGTAGGTTCCAACTTGCTTAAGTGGTTCTCTATCTTGAATAGAATGGCACCAAAAAATAAATTGTTGCCACAGTCGAGGCATCATCGGTACTTATATTAGTGATTAAGAATTACAAGATTGAAATTTAGAAAACTTGTGACTAAATCTTAGAAGCTATAACTGTATCTTTGCCTCTGCATAAGAAATTTTTAATGGTTCCAGAACTTCATTTGCATGGTTTTACTTTTTATATTTGCTTAATTGCAGTTCTAATTCCTTTTTGTCGGCTACACCACGCCTCTTGAATGTCTATTACGAAGGCACCTGCATTTTTTCGATCACTATTTCTGCAAAAATTTGGACTGAAATCTGTCCAATGATCTAGCAGCTGAAACGTTTTCGGCAAGACTCAGGCAACCAAACACTTTTCCATCAAGATTCCAACAAAACCTTCCCAGACCCCACTTGTGGGATTACACTGGGTATGTTGTTGTTTACCGAAAACCATTCTGGAGACTATCTGCTTTCTATGTGTCAGTGTTGTTAAAGGTTCACTTAAAGCATGCTTAAGCCCTGAAGCTAAATGAAGCTCGAGTTGTGTGCTTCACCTTGCTTAGTTGGTGCTTTAGCATAATCTTCAAGGTGCACAACAATAGACAATAAATATAGTTGACAAAATGATGCATTAATTGTTAAGAAAACGTCATGACCAAACCTTTAGTGATTCAAAATAAGAAATTAGATATACATTATAAGAAACTAGCCACTAAAAACCTAAAACTACATCCCTTCAATCTATAGTAGAAATTTAACATGGTCTCTGGAATTAATTGTGCTTATAGTTACATTTTCTTGTATTACATTTCGATTATGTTTTCTTCATTGGCACTTTTCTTTGCTTAAGTCAATGCTTTAATCGTGCTTTCGACTTAAGGACCCAAAGAACTTTGGCGCTTACTTTGTGCTTTTCACTTTTGACTACTCTGCTATATGTTGAGTTGTGTGACTAGCTGATCTAAAAGTTTAAGCTGGTAGAGAGGGTACACTAAATATTTATTTAAACATAACACACACCCTCCTGTGTGGATCTAGTTCTTTTTCATGGATCAAGCACGTGAAAAATTCTTTTTGATAAGGGTAGCTTGAACCCAAAACCTTTTGCTTCCTCTAATACAATGTTGAATTGTGTCACCACCTTGTCTAAAAGCTTAATCTTTACTTAACTATGTCTTATCACTGTATTCAAAATAAGCAAACTCAAATTGGTTACTTTCCATTGAGGTATGTTAAAATGCTAAAATATTATCTCACTTTGAATAAATATCATGTGTACTGTGGTTAGCACCTATAAAGCTATTCTCTTATTTTCTTAAAAAAAATCACCATCACAAACTTCCAGTATTACCCCCATCCTGGACCTCTCTCGTCCAGCTCAGATACATCACGATGCCCAGTCCCGTTGTAACTCCCTGGCCCAGTTTAGATTCCGTTGGTATACTCCTCTCTCCTTACCAGTTTCAAATAAGAAGATCGTAGAGGTCAGACAGAGATTCCAAAGGCAGGAACAACAACACAGGATAAGATAGCAATGATGATAGTAAGACCTGCTTTCCCCTTTTCTTTGTCTTTTCTCTATAGTTCTTTTCAATGGGAAGAAAGTGAGGTCTTTAAACATACCCCTAGGGTGCTGACATGTGGCATGGGCTTGAAAACCAGCCAAAAACTAAGGACCAACTAAATTTCCAACTTTCATGAAGGATCCTTCTCGCTTATTTGTCAATCTGTGGCAGCCAGAATCCTCTTTCCTACTCAAGCACCGGGGGCTAGAATCTGCGGATAAGGTAGTGAAATTTAGAGCATATACTTACTTTGTTTCCAGTGCTACAACAAACGCCTGCAACCAAATACATCCTGAAAGTGCCACCATAGATGCTTCTTCCATCTCACTTTTCTCAAAAGCATATGCATGTATGGTGATGACAAAGACAACAATAGCCTGAAAAAACCACCTCCAATCATTATGGCTAAATATTAAAACCAGATTTATCAGAGACTACTAGAAACAGGTAGCAGCAGATATGACCAACTTTTAAGCGATTGATAATTCCTTCAATAAGTTGTATGCAGGCACATGGACATGCAAATACCACATAATATATCCCAAGAAATTCTTTCAGCTTTTCGGTGAAACAAAATAAGGTTAACGATATCTGGCGGTCAGATCTTACATTTACACCTAACTAAAGAGTAAAGACAATAAAAATGTCAATCTACCCAAAAAAAAAAAGGTAAAAAGAGAACGCATGCTTAAACTGATCAGAAAATGAGTGAAGGAATCTAAACTACAAATTCTTCCAAATTTCTCCAACAAATGACACATTGACTTCTCCATGAAATTCCTTTATTCAGCTCAAGGCAATAAGCCCCTTCAGCAAAACTGTGGCAAATATTATTGAGCAAACTTGTATAACATTCCAAGCTAAACAAGAAATCAACAGAATTATAGTTTCATTCGCAGATGAATACCAATAAGCCTACGTCATTCTCTAGGAAAGCCTCCACAAAGGTCAAGCTCCAAGTCACCAGCAGAGAAATCAGATAATACGTCTCAGATATGAAAGAATTTTGCTTTTTGTTCTCTTCTTTGACATGATAGGAATTTTTTTGTATCCAGTTGATTATAATAGTTCGTATGGGTCTGTATAATGACGATTCATATTAAAAGACAAACTTCATCTAGTATGCGAACTAACCCCAAAAAAGTTGTTTGTTAATTTGAAGCTCGGGTTTATTTTGCCTCGCCTGATATTATATTATTAAAGGTAATCTATGAAAGTTTGACAGTTTGACCTAGTTCAGTATTTTGATTAGAGAAATAAAAGATGGAAGCAGGTTATGTGTGACGCTCATGACAGAGGGCGGGCTGATGAAGGTGGGTCAAGGAGAAGGACTGTTAGGATTCTAGGCTCGTAAGCTTCTGAAGAAGGGGTACATATGACACCTTAGGCCAATCTCATATCAGAAAGGGAGAGAAGAGTGAAGTGCTATATAAGATAGAGCACAAGTTCACATGGTACACGCGTTTTTGGGCCAATGATGGCATAACCCAACGGGCAAATCCATGATATTTGTTTGGGCCAAAAAGGACAATACGTGTCATGGGCTAGGATGTGACAAGTGTGGTATCGAAAACGGACTCCCACAGCACGATGTTAGCGCAAACCTTAAGGCGTAAGTGACATCCATGACGGAGGATGGGTCAAAGAGAAAGACTGGCACACTTCTATACTAGCAAGCTCCGAAGAAGGGGTGCATATGACACTTACGCATATCCCACATCAAAAGGGTGAGAAGAGTGAAATTCTATATAAAACAGAACACAAGTTCACATGGTAGGCGCTTTGTGGCTCGATGATAGCGTACCAAGGGACAAATCCGCAAGTTCTATTGGGCCAAAGTGGACAATACACGCCATGGCATGGGCTATAACAAATATGGTATCAGAGCCGAACTCCTGCAATATGATGGTTGGTCAATCCTCAGACGATCAAGTCCTTAAAGGGGTGATATGTAATGCCTATGATGGAGGGCAGGTTGATGAGGGTGGGACAAAGAGAAGGACTAGAAGGCTTCTAGGCTGGCAAGCTTTTGAAGAAAGGAGGCATATGACACTTTAGGCCAATCCACATCAAAAAGAGAGAGAATAGTGAAGTGTTATATAAGATAAAGCACAAGTTCACATGGTACGTGCACTTTAGGGCTCGATGATGACCCAAGGGACAAAGCCATGAGGTCTCTTGGGTCAAAGCAGATAATACGTGTCATGGACTTGGGCTGTGACATTACACTTCTCTATAATATGCATTGGACCAAAAAGTACTCCCTCCATCAAATAAAAGTAAACCTTCTTCTTGCTAAAAGACCAATACAAGAAAGTTTGCCTCGATTATAGTTGGTAGAGAGAGAGTCAATTTTTTTGAAACGTAAAAGAAGTTGAGTTCCCCATTGAAGATGTTATATCAAGATCAAATAATGTCACATAGTGTTAGTTCATATTGATTAGAATTCTCAGAGGAGAAACTTTCTTTTGATCAGTGCAAAAGGAGAAACTTTCCACTTAAGGAAATAGATGGGTGTTTTGAAATGGACAAAGAAGTAAAGGTAAACGTTATGGAGGAGGGAACAGCTAAAGTAAATTGAAACTGGAAACATCCAGGATAAGCAAACTAAGTTAAAGCAAATATGAATAATGACTGGCTACACCAAAGTCTATGTACTTCCATGACTTGCAAAATCTCCAGAGACTGTAAATTCAAAATGATTGATGTGCAGTTCTAAGGACTCCACTGAATGAAAATTAGAAATCTGAACCAAATAGTACTCACATGAAAGAGAGACCGTCCAAACCATCCAGCAAATGTGCTAGGATTAAGAAGCCTGTTCAGAAAATGGTTTAATGAAAAAAAGGGCTTAGTATAATATCAGAGAACGTGAAAATTAAATGAATAATCGTACATAGAAAGAGACGCCACGAAAATTAAAGCTATAATCCAACTGCGTCTTTTGGAACAGATGAAAAGCAACTACAGTAATTAAGATGCAAAGGATTTAATGAGTACAAATCCCAAACCTTCCTGCTTGACAGTAGAACAGTATTTGTGGATGCTGCATTACGGTTCTTTCACTGAGATCTTTGTCAAGGACACTGACTAGAACAGGAACACTTGTGTAGAAAACATTATATGCCATCAAACTAACAGAATTGAAAAGGCTTGTTCCAGAAACACCTGAAATGAATGAGAAGCTGGTATGTATCGTAATGTTAGTACACGACATAGTCAAAGCTTTCAAGAGTCACTCAACGACAAACTAAGTTTAGCACTTACAAAATCTGGATGAAGCATATTAGGAGGGATTTGTAGAAGGAATATTGGGATAGAAATGCTGTCCTATTATAAGAGTAACGTCCATGGACAAGTATCAGTCTTTTCAAGAACCTGAATTCTGCACGAAACATTAAAAGATAATGAGTTTGGTAAATGCCAAAATATTAATGCCTATAAATACCCTTTTTGTTTTAGCATTTCCCAAGAAAATGACAGATGAATTTTAGCAGGAGTATATATATAATATCTAAGTGTCTAACCAACTTGCTCAAATCCCTGGGTCTACCACTGGTTACAAATGCATAATTATCAATCTATCATCACCTCCGATCTTTAGTAAGAGAGCTTTTAAATCTTAGTGAGTACTAAACTAGACTGCCACCTATTATGCTACCTATTTCATATTCTTGACTAAGGGTGGCAAGTGGGCCGGTCCCGGGCCTAAACGGGCCAAGTGGGCCGGTCCAAACGGTCCCGGGCCCGTCCCGGGCCCAAATTAAACGGGCCAAACGGTCTTTTTGTAGGGACCGGGACCGTTTGGTCCCGGGCTAAACGGTCCCAGCCCGCGGGCTAAATGGGCTAAGTGGGCCCAACGGATTTTTTTTTAAAAAAAAAAATTAAATAGATATTAGAGACAAAAGGATGTTAAAAAAAATATCTAAAGCAATGCTTTGTAAATTTTATTATAGAATTGTGACCTAAATTTTATTTAATATATATATACACACTATACTATATATACATCTTATATCGAATATAACTTATATATATATATATATATACTTTTTAGTAGTAACATGAAAGGGCCAAAGTATGGTACTTCTTAGCTANTACTTTGGTCATTTCATGTTACTACTAAAAAGTATATATATACTAAGTGTATAGTATATAAGCTGTATAAGTGTGTATATATATATATATATATATATATATATATATAAAGCTATATTTGATAAGCTATATATACATCTTGNATATATAAGCTATATTTGATAAGCTATATATACATCTTATATAGCTTATATAAGATGTATATATAGTATAGTATAGTATAGTATAGTATATATACTAAATGTATAATATATAAACTATATATATATATGTATCGAATATAGCTTATATATTATACACTTAGTAACAATAAAGTAAGCAATAGTAGCAATTATAGAAGGAAATTAGAGAGAGATTGTGATAGATTGATGATTTTGTAAGAAAAAATGAAAGAATGAGAGGGTATTTATAGTTGAAAATAGGAAAAAAGTGTAATTATAAAAAGTTTGGGGTTAAAACAAAGTTGGGGGGGTTAAATGGCTATTTTATAAATAGCCAACGGCTATTTTTGACAGCCCAACGGCTATTTTTGACAGCCCAACGGTTATATTTTATTTTATTTTTTAAATATAGCTGTTGGGACCGTTTGGCCCGCTAAGGGACCGGTCCGGTCCCGGTCCCTGGAGGGCTAAATAGTCCCGGGCCTGGCGGGCCCAAATCATAGGACCGGCCCACAAGACCAGCCCAGGCCCACTAAAACCGGGCCAAACGGTCCTGGCCCGTTTTGCCCATTTGGCCCGCGGTCCCGGGCCTGGACCGGCCCACTTGACATTCTTTCTGACACAGGAAAGATGTGAGATAAATTAAGAAGCAGCTATTATAATCTGTCATAAGTAAGACGTTGAAACATAAAAAAGAAAGAGTATTGGATATCTCACTTCCAATACTATAATCAGCTGCTCTTGCTGCCTGCAGTCCTTCTCTCCCACTTATGCCAACTCCAATGTCAGCTTGTTGGATCATCCTCACGTCATTTCCGCCATCCCCTATTGCCAGTGTTCGATATTCACAGGATTTTAGGAGTTCTACCAGCTGAAAGTAATAAAATGTAGTTGAGATCTATACACCCATAAGCTGTACTTTTACAAACTACAGGCATCAACATGAAGAGCATTCTGCTATCCAAGACCATACCAGCACAAAAACAGCTTATGAAATTTTTTTGCTTTCCTAAATTCAAACTAATGTATATTTGCATAAGAGATTGAAGCATCATTTTCAATGCTTGATCTGCAAACATAGGTAAAATTGACCTGGCTATAAAATTTGTTCAAAAGTGTCATCGTTGACATGCAAAATACACAAACTCCTAGTATTTTTGCTCTAGTTATAATAAGTTTTCTTTATAGAAGCTGAACTTTTCTGTGTCCAACAATTCCATTTTATCTCATTAAAATATATATGTAACGGGCGAAACTTTCTGCTACATCATCATGCAGTAACCTTTCTATGTGGTGGGCCTTTGCTAGTGAAAAAAAAGAATGAAAATAACAAGACCCCCTATGTATCACTCTTCAAACAGCACAGCAGAAATGTTACAGTACACTACCCACCTAAGTTGCTCTGACACGGGTACGGGTGTCCGACACGGGTGCGGATCTAGAGGTCGGATCCTTTAAGATGGAAATTTTAAGATTCGGGGATACGGATCCTAGAACCGACACGGGTGCGGGGATCCGGCTAAAATTAATTTTAAAATAAAAATAAATATATCTCTAAATTATGTGGAGTACTTACCTATAACTTATTAAATGTGAATTTCTTCTTTATTCGTGTTTTTGCTATTGTTCTCTTATTTTACATAGTCAAAAGAATCAAAAGCTTAAAGATTTCAAAGCAAGCTCCACGTATAGTTTTTTGGGATAAAGAAAAACTTGTCCTTTTATGGTCAATTGAAATGTATAAATAAGAGTACGAGACAAAACAGTTTGCACACGGTCATAACAGCTAGAAAGCATATCACTCTTCAAGAAAGCACATCACTTTTCAAGAAGAAAGCATATCACTTTTCAAAAAGCATATCCTAATTTGTCTCTGTCTTCTTCGTCTATCTGCACTCGCCTCTTCTTCTTTCCTTAGTCTTCTTCCCCAACAAAACCTTTTCCATGTCTCTGTTTTTTTAAGTATAAAACCTTTTCCTTCTTTGTTTGGTCAACGCACCCGATCTTGTCTGACCGAATCCGACACAGATCCCACACCCTTACCCGTGTCAGTGTCGTGTCGACACGGGTATGGCGCCCAAATTGCTGTGTCCGAGCAACTTAGCTACCCACCACTACCCCACCCCCAAAAAATGACTATTTAAGCATGCGATATTGTTTAGCTGGATTTACTTATTGCTCCAGTGCGTAGCTACATTGGGATAAGGGTGGTCAAGCGAACACCCTTCGCCGAAAAATTATATTATGCATATAGGTCAAATACCACTTTATATGCATATATATATATTTTGAACATCCTTTGCACAGTTGAGAAAAGTAGCCCAATGGCCAAGGGTGTTCCAAGTGAAGTGGAGTCTATGGGTTATCCTTGTGTTAACATCCGTATCTGCCCATTTTGTTTTTAAAACTACACGGAGACGACATTGGTCTATTGGACTATCATTTTAATCAAAGAATTTCTTAATAAATAACTCCTCAAACTTAATATTTATGTAAAAACATACAACTAATCTTAAAAGTAGTTTTTTAATTAAAAGTTGTTTATTAAACAAATCTTATAAGTTAAAATTCAAATATTTCTTTAACCAAAAAAGATCTTTATAGACTACAAACCTCTCGACTCTCTCTTCCTTTGGTTCTATGCTTACTTTTATTAGCAGAATTTCTTTTGTTGTCTTTTTTATGTTAGGCTTTATCTGTAAAATTGTAGTTCTATTACAATTATTTTCATGATTTAGCTATATATTGCACAGATTGATTTAAAATTTTCGGTGCACCCATTCATTGAAAAACAATTACTAGACCTCTTTAAAGTTTGAACACCCTTGGCGAGATTTCTGGCCACACCACTGAATTGCTCCATTTAGGAGATCTAAAAATGACTAATAGGTACTATTGAAAAACAAAAACAATCTGAGAATGGAACATCAAGCTATGTAGCAGGGGTATATCTTTACCATTCTATAAAATGTACAAATGTGACTCAACACTTTGTCAGACCATCCATCCAAGTCATCAGATTTGTTGTGTTCATGGCTTGCTCCTTTCAAGAGCGCTAGAATCTTATCATGCAAGCTACAGGAATAAGGTACTGGGAATCAAAGTGTATGGCCCTGTTTGGGAACATGTAGCAAGACTTTATATCCACGTCTAATGCTCCAGAGAGAAACTTCTAAAAATATTCAGACTAGGGCTGCGCATGAGTTTCCTAACATGTTCTTTACCATTCAAAACATGTTTATTAGAACAACCTTTGACGTGCTAGAATTTAGATACTTCATTATGACTAAGAAAATACATGCACACATCTGGAGATAAGCAACAAATAAAATTTAAGGTGCTTGTTGAACTGGTTATAGTAGTAAAAAGTAGTTAAAACATTTTGTCCAGATAAGTTGCACTTTCAACTTGCAATGCAAATAAAGAGAATGTTAACTCTGACACGGACTCAAAAGGAATGAAGCAAATACAAAAACTACCAAATTTATATAGTGACATGACAGATTAAATACAATTAGTAAAGCTTGCTATATCCTATGAATAATGTTCCACTGCTTGAACTTTATTTGCAGGGCTTACGTTGTGACGGGAACTTATGAACTTCGCATTATCAAAATAGGTAACACAGATGTTGTTCTCTTCTTAAAATAATGCATTGAATATGAAAAATTATTTTGACAGCCGACATAATACCTGTGCCTTCTGTGATGGAGTAACACGACAACATATAGCTGTTCTCGACAATATAGCAAGTTCCGTGAATGCCTTCCGGTAATGCTTTAGTACAATTTCAAGAGCCCAGCCATCCACAACAAAAGCAACATCCTGTGTGAGATAAATACTAAGTCATCTGCTTGGGAGTTAACAGGGGTTATTACAAATTCAAGTGAGAGTCATGTACCATGAAAGAGGAAAAAGTAAAAGAAAAAGCACCACACAGTCCAACATTAGTGTTATTTCAGAAATCTGGAAAGGAAATTATATTTCTGTTCTTTTCTTTTTCCTCCCTCTCAGAAAGTACATTTCTAAGATTTACAAGATAATGCTCTAGAGTACACATACAGAAAATGAAGCTATCAATAGGGGGAAAAAGAACCTATCTGGAACGACTGAGGGACTTGTATAAGTCTTCCATTCACTTGAAGACTATTTCAGCACCAAAAGAATGACTCGACTGTAGGTGCCAGAAAAATTTTGTACAAAATCACTGTATGAAGTCAGCTATACAGACTACTGAACAACATTACATCCCATCCCATCAGGCACCTTAGCATATTTGGCCAAGAAGCAAACAGACACAAACTGTTCATCTCAGCTTTTAGTCTTAACTGGGTTATGCCTGAGTGTTAAAGATGCCCTGGTTAGCTGGAGTTCATCAAAGGTTGGGAAATCCATCAGGACAGTTTGGAAGATGATCCCTGCTTGTATTTTCTGGTGTGTCTGGACAGAAAGAAATACTAGATGCTTTGAAGGCATTACTACTCCAAATACATTCTTAAGGCTAGATGTTTAACAAGTCTTTGTAGTTGGAGTAATCTTTCCCTGTCAATTCCTCTGAAGCTTTTTTGGACTTTGTTAGCTCCTTAACTTCAGACTAGACCTTTTGTAATAGAGCTAACATTGTTTTGTTTTTCTATTTCTTTGCTCTGTAAATTCTGAATTTGCATCTAGACCTTTCTAAAACCAAAATCCTCTTTTCCAGCTTTATTTCCACTTTCACAATGTTTTCATCGACACAGTAGGGTGAGATTAGAAAAGTTATCAGACGAGGACACGACCTACTTTTCATATTTTGCAAGCATAATGAAATAGGAAAAAAAAATTAGACCATAGGAACTCCAATATGTTGGTTGAAAGATACTTTCTTCTAGTTTGTTAGTATATCTGGTACTTAGCTACCACGTCCATTGTTTTTGAAAATTGCTATTGGAAATTGTTGCTCCCTGATTGTTACTACTTGATGCTACTTTTTCTCCCCTTTTACAGGAAATTGTTGCTCCCTGATTGTTACTATTTGATGCTACTTTTTCTCCCCTTTTTCCTTATTGTCTTTTGTCTCCCTCTTCTTTCTTTCTTCCCCCTCTTTCTTCGTCTTCTTCTTCCCTTTTCTTCCTTTCCACCTTGTTAGAATAGCTATGTGAAAATATATGTAATTAGTCCTAGTCCCATAGGTAATAGGAATAGGTTATATATTATGTGTACTTATAAATAGGGTTCATTGTATTACAATTAACATCAATAATACAAATTTTCCGTGTATTATTTCTCACATGGTATCAGAGCGGCAGTGAGAAAACATCCAGGGAAAAAAACCCAGCCGAAAAAGTCGCCGTGCTTCAATTCTGGCGACCCTTTTAGGGTTGTTTTTCGTCAAACCAATTTCCATCGATGTTGTGCAAAAACCAACACCACCACAAGGTCCCCCAACCTCCGGCGACCAAACCCCAACAAACAGCTCCGGCAACCGACATCTCACGCGCCAATCAGAGCTTTGCTTTTCCGACGAGATCTACTCCACGCGCCGCGCGTGGAGCACTTTCCGGACACTTTTTGACAAAATTTCTTCATAATGGTTGGATCGCCTACAAATTCCGAGCCTACCCATAATTTTATTTTTTAATTCCGAGCACATTGAAATTTTTTCCGGCAACTACAGTACTTTTCCGGCAGTAGAGTATTTTTCCGGCAACTACAGTTGATTCTTTGTTTAATTTGGTGCTAATTTGCTGGACATACTTTCTATCTAACAATGTCTTTGGGAGTTGATGCGTTTGGTTTAAAAACACGGGTTCTGGAAGTTCCGATATTATGATTACCTCAGAACCTTTAATGGGAAGTTCAAACTACTTAGCTTGGGTTTCGTCTGTCGAATTGCGGTGTAAATGTCAAGGTGTTCAAGATCATTTAACAAAAAGGCTAGCGAAGGAGACGAAAAGGCCAAAGCACTTTGGGAGAAGGTAGATGCTCAGTTATGTAGTATCGTATGGCGATCTATTGATTCCAAGTTGATGCCCTTGTTTTGTCCATTCCAGAGATGTTATTTAGTTTAGGAAAAGGCTCGTACTTTATACACTAATAACATATCTCGTTTCTATAATGTGATATCACAAATGACAAGCTTGAAGAAACAGGAATTGGATATGTCTACTTGGGACAAGTACAGGCAGTCATGGAAGAATTTGAGAAGTTGATGTCAGTTTCTGCTAGTATTGAAAAGCAACAAGAGCAACGACAGAAGATGTTTCTAATTCTTACACTCGTTGGACTTCCTAATGACCTTAATTCAGTACGTGACCAGATTTTGGCTAGTCCGACTGTCCCTATAGTTAATGAATTATTCTCTCGATTACTTCACCTTACTACAGCACCAAGTCACCCAGTGATCTCATCACAGCCACTTGACTCCTATGTTCTCGCATCCCAGACAGTGGAAAATCGGGCATCTCAAACTATGGAGAATAGACGAGGAGGAGGTCGTTTTGGAAGATCTAGACCCAAGTGTTCTTATTGTCATAAACTTGGACACACTCGTAAAGTGTGCTATTCTTTACATGATCGACCACCCAAAAATGCTTATGTTGCTCAGACCGAGACTACAGGTAACCAAGGAATTTCTTTATTTGAAGGAGAATATAACGAGTTCTTTCAGTATCGAGCAAGTAAGCAGACATCTCAACAAGTAGCCTCAGTTGCTCAGACTGATACTTTTGTTGCTGGTAATTCTTTTGCTTGTGTTTCCCGGTCTAGTACTCTTGAACCATGGGTCATGGACTCGGGCGCTTTTGATCATATCTTTGGTAATAAATCTCTTTTGTCGAATATTAAGTATTCACAGTCTCTTCCCACTGTTACTTTAGCCAATGGGTTTCAAACTAAAGCAAAAGGAGTTGGACAAGTTAATCCCCTATCTTCTGTCTCTCTAGAATCCGTTCTTTATGTCCCTGGCTGTCCTTTTAGTCTTGGATCTGTTGGTCGTTTGACTCGTGCCCTCCATTGTGGTATATATTTTATTGATGACTCTTTTACTATGCAGGACCGCAGTACGGGACAGACGATTGGACCAGGGCGTGAATCAGAAGGCCTTTACTACCTTAACTCACTCAATCCCTCCAAAGCATATCTAGTTACAGATCCTCCAGAGTTAATTCACAGACGTTTAGGACATTCGAGTTTATCCAAGCTTCAGAAGATGATGCCTAGTTTGTCTAGTTTGTCTATATTAGATTGTGAGTCGTGTCAGCTTGAGAAACATACCCGAGCCTCCTTTTCGCGTAATGTTGAGAGTCATGCAGAGTCTGTTTTGTCTTTAGTTCATTCTTATATATGGAGTCCTAGTAGAGTCAGTTCAACCTTGGGATTTTGTTATTTTGTTAGTTTCATTGATGATTATTCAAGATGTACTTGGCTTTTCTTAATGAATATTCTAGAATTTTTGTGCTGAAATCAAAAATCAATTTGGTGTTTCTATTCGCACTTTTCGCAGTGATAATGCCTTAGAATATTTATCCTCTCAGTTTCAGCAGTTTATGACTTCTCAAGGAATTATTCATCATACATTTTGTCCTTACACCCCTCAGCAAAATGGGGTTGCAGAGAGAAAGAATAGGCACCTCATTGAGACTGCTCGCACACTTCTCGTTGAATCTCGTGTTCCGTTGCGTTTTGGGAGCGATGCAGTTCTTGCAGCTTGCTATTTGATTAATCGGATGCCTTCATCTCCCATCCAGAATCAGCTTCCGTATTCAGTATTGTTTCCCCAATCACCCTTATACTCTCTTCCCCCTCGTGTTTTTGGGAGCACGTGCTTCATTCATAACTTAGCCCCGGGAAAGATAAGTTAGCTCCTCGTGCTCTCAAGTGTGTCTTCCTTGGTTATTCTCGTGTTCATAAGGGATATAGTTGTTACTCACCTGATCTTCGTAGGTACCTTATGTCAGTTGACGTCACATTTTTTGAGTCTAAACCATTCTTTACCTCTTCTGACCAACTTGATATATCTAAGGTCGTACCTATACCAACCGTTGAGGAGTCTAGTGTTGCTCCTCCTAGATCCCCAGCCACAGGAACACCACTCCTGACCTATCATCATCTTAAGCCCTGAAGCAAGGCTCAAAACATATTGAGCGCTTTGCCTCGCCTTGTGAGCGCTTCAATGTCGCATCAAGGCTCTAAGGCATACGTTTCCTTGCCAATGAATGTAATACTGAAAATGCGACACTAAACAATTGATATTTCACTCTATCATAATTTGTTTTCAATTTCTTTGTCCATATATTTGTTATTAATGTTTATAATTATTGGTCTTGGACTAAATATACATATTTTTACTTTTTCTCCAGTTGCGCCTTTTTTCATTAAAGCGCACGCTTTAATTGCGCTTTGCGCTTAAAGCCCCAACGGACCTTAGAGATTTTTTGCGCTTTTCGCCTTTGATAACACTGATCGGAAAGACTCTCTCTACCTCTCCAGGAAGGGGTAAGGTCTGCGTACACACTACCCTCCCCAGACCCCACCTGTGAGATTATACTGTGTTTGTTGTTGTTGTTGTTGAACTCCAATATGTCTGATAGTCTAAATACCCTGTAGATAGGAACTTCAATAATCCATTTTACAAGACCATTTAAATTAGAATGTTTATTTGTTCAGACAATGCGCCTCACCCCTGAAATAGAACGGAGGAAAATGGAAGCTCCCAACAAAGCTTTATCTACTTGCAGTAATGTACATTCAGATTTCTGCATCACCGAATAAGGAGATGGTCTAACCTAGGGTTTAGGTATTTTACCCCTGGCAAATCAACACTTTATTCTACACTACCCAACTATGGGAAAAGGAAAGTTGTTCAGCTTTGTGTGGGGAAACTTCCTTGTCAACACGGTAATACCTTTATAGATATGATCTTGTAAAAATAAAATCTGATTTAGCGTTTCACTTGAGGGGCGCCTTGGCACGACGGTAGGGGTTGCCACTGTATAACCAGGGGTGAGGGTTCAACCCGTGGAAACAAAATCTTTCAGAAATGAAAGATAAGGCTGCATACAATAAATCTAATGTGGTCCGACCTTTCCCGGGGCCCCGGGCACAGCGAGTGCTGGGCTGCCCTTTTTAATGTTTCACCAGACCATCATGGATAAGATTTGCCTTTACTGAAATAAGTCCTCCAAATATTTTCGAAGAGACAAAGCACTTCTATGATTTTAGAGTCTCCTGATTAAGCAATAATTACCCAAACAAAAAAAAAGGGGAAGACTTCCATCTTCTCCTGACTGTAGCCATTAGTCTTCCAATTGAGAGTTGATGTATAATCCTTGTGAACTTCTTTGTGTATAATTGTATGTTACTCTAAACGCACTCTAGACAGCCTTATTTAAGGCAGGCAAAAATTAATTCTTAGGATATCATTAACTAATTAAGAATCTCTTCAAGTAATCCAAATATAGAGCCCAGCCTGACAAATTCACAAACATTAAGCTTCACGGAAAATCATGAAGTTCCAAAAGCAAATAACTCAAAAGATACATATTTTACTTCATGCACTACTGAAAAATACAAAGAGAAACTCAGAAGCAAGTGCACATCCTACGTCGACATCAAGCTCTACATGTGCAAGTACAATGGCCAAGGAAAGAAGCTCATATTATCCAGATCTAAGAAAATGACGCAATTGAAGATGCAGTTATGGCTGGAATATTCAATTATTTGTGATCTCTGTTTATCCTTTAGCAAAGGAGATTATAAAATTGTAAGCCAAGAAAACATTTAGGCTCGAAGTTATTAGGTGCTGATGCAAATGAAAGAGTTAGTATACCAGTCAATAAGATAGAACACTCGTCAAGATAGATATGAATTCAATTCAACATACCTTGGGTTCTGCATTTGTTATTCTCATTGTGAGAAGAACTCTCTCCAGACTTTGGCCTACTTCATCTTCAGTTCTCCCATTAATCAGCAGAAGCTGGCCTTTTGGTTCTGCAAACATGTCATTCAGAAAATAAAAGCATCTCTCAGCACAATTGTTTTGAAGGAAAAACTTCTCTCGACACAATTGATGGCATTAGAGAATACAATCCAGAGGATTAGTCTGCCTTTAGCATATCCATTTTCCTTTTTCACTTTGAAGCAATCTTATTTAATTGCTTTTGTCATGCAGCTGAAAAGCATTTCTGAAGATGAAGGCTTGCGGCATTATTGGATGTGTCACGCAACAAGAGCGCTTGGCAGGAGATCGCCTAGAATATTATTCCATTTCATTCTGTTTTAACTAGAAGACCAACTCGTTTTCAGCATTGCATCTTTTGATCTAATCAAATGGACCTTTGTCCTAGTATACGACATGCTAATGTCGGCAATCAGTTTTGGGTGAAATTAGAAATCATAAGAAAATTAAACCTCAACACGAAAAGATTCAATAACGAATATATCTTAATTCTTATCATGGAAAAATCAGAAAACACTACTTCATTTTGCATCTGGCTCGCTTTGAAAGATGGATTATATTTAGGCTAGCCATTAACATTTTGGAGCCAAGAGCATTATGGTCTTTTATATATTTCGATAGCCAAGAGATTTTCCTTTTTGGATAACCAAGAAATCCCTGAGAGCCGGTGGCGGTACAAAGTTTTCTCTCCCTTTGCACCCAAGGGTGTGGCCTAACGATTAATGAAATGGGATGAAAATCAATAGAGACCATCGTTTGAATTCCAACAGAGATAAAATGCTAGGTCATGTCTTCTCATTTGCCTAAGCTCCAAAGCCTTGGTGAGTCGAGTTATCCGGTACTTGTACTTGTGGGAGATNAAAAAAAAACAAAAAAATACCCATAACAAAATGGTCCATATCATGGCTAGAGGTGCTACTTCTCGTTCCCAAAAATGAAAATAAGGAAAGAAAAGATAGTGAAATTGTGGACAGATAAATGGTTAGCAAAGGAACAATTCCCTGATCTCCATGCAATCAGTACAAACAAAGACAGCACAGTGGCTGCATGTCATTCCTACTGCAAGTGGAACTTGCAGACATTCCATTCCGCAGTTTGGTAACCTAAGACCAAATTTTAACACTAGTCCCGTCTTTATCACTGTATAAGCTCTAATAAGATGGATGAACTTTGTTTCAGGAGTCCAAGCTTCTGATAATAGGAAACCTATCAATTGCTCTCAAACTGTCACTTTATTTTTCTATTTTCTTATCCATCTATTTATCTTTTTTTCCATATATGCTCTAAGAAGGTTTGCTGTGATTAAGTGTCGGATACCAAGCTTCTGATATTTACACAAGAGTTGCAGGAAACTGTTAATCAGTGTTATCAAAGGCAAAAAGCGCAAAAACGCTCTTAAGGTCCGTTGGGGCTTTAAGTGCAAAGTGCAAATAAAGCGTGGGCTTTAATGAAGAAAGGTGCAATGGGAGAAAAAGTAAAAATATGCATGTAGTCCAAGACTAATCATTATAAGCATGAATAACAAATATATGGACAAAGAAATTGAAAATAAAAATCACGATAAAGTGAAATATCAATTGTTTAAGGTCGCCTTTTCAGGATTACACTCATTGGCAAGGAAAAGTGTGCCTTAGAGCTTTGATGCGACACTAAAGCACACACAAAGCGAGGAGAAGCGCTAAACGTGTTTTGAGCCTCACTTCAGGGCTTAAGCGCGCCTTTGACAACACTGCTGTTAATGGCTCTCAAACTGTCACTGTCTGTCCATTTTATTTGGTATCAACTTGGACTCTAGTGCATCTGTTCATCAGTATCATTGTAGGAAATCATTATGTCTTTTCCTTTCTTTAGCGGCACTAGAGTTCAACTTCCAATGCTACAATGAAGAATCTCTGAACCAAAGCCACTTTCTTTCTTTTGATTATTTGGCCCTCCACTTCACATCCATCACAAGACTATTCGTGCTCATTTAGTTAGACAATTCAAAGGTGCCCAAAATATTCCTTACTTTCCCAGCCTACTGCAGGAAACTTTACCTGGACTCAAACTAATCCTTTATGATAATGCATCTAGCAGCAAGCATAAGGTACGAGGAGTTGATTGGAAGGATTTTGTTGATCACAAACATGGGAAGCAGCAGTAGTTCTTTAACAGAAGAGAAACTCTGAAGTCCTAATGCAATTTTTGTTCAGCATAACTTTGTCTCTTATCTTTTGTAAAAACTCAGTCAGGCATTTGAGCTATCTAAGAGTGCGGCGTGAATATGTCATCAAACAGTTGGAGACGTTGTACAAGAAAGTACAAATTAGAAAAGAACCAGAAGGAAAACAGAATCAACAGGGCATACCAGGAGAAACAAAATTACATGAACGGGCAATCTGTATTGCCGTATTCTGTTTGTCACCAGTCAGCATCCAAAAGTTTATTCCTGCCTTCCTGAGTGTCTCAATTGTTTCAGGCACACCATCCTAGATATATGTGTATACATATACAAGTGAAAAGTCAGATTACGAAACTCATTGACCAAGAGACAAAATGAATTATAGTTCTAAAAGGAGCATCTTTGCATAACTGCAAGAATTGTGTCAGGACAGCAAGCAAGCCTTACCAGGATAAAGAGAAGAAAAAGAAAGCAGTGTCACCTGTAGACGATCTTCAATTGCTGCAACTCCAATAATCTCAAAGCCATGCTCTATCCTTTGGCAGACCTCAGCTACTCTCCACTGCAGCACACAAGTATTGGAGCATTCAGTCAATTGAAAACTTGTGCAGCACCCAACAGAAAGTCCAGAGCACAATGGGCACACAACACAGGTGATCTAATCTTCGCTGCAAGAAAAAAGCCAATAGTAGCAAGCATAAACCATAGTGATGATTTCTCACCTCTCTATCGACCAATGAACTATTAGCCTCTTTAAACAGTAATGACCATTCATGATATTCTTCTTCTTCTAAATCACGCCATGCCAAACATAACGTCCGCAGACCAAATTGAGCATATTGTTCCACAGCTTCAGTAAAGGTCCGTGTTTGTTGTCCTAGTACATATTCTTTCCATCAATAAATAAGAAGCATTGGCAGTTGAGCAGCAGGATGGCTTAGTAAATATACAACTTACATAACAAAATCAGATTGTCTCAGCATAAATATTCAGAACAATTCAGCACGAGATTACCAAATATTTACACACACACAAAAAAAAAAAAAAAAGGCACCTCCTTCTCAATCTTGAAAGTGAAAATATGCATAGCAACCACAGATTTTAACTCTCCTAAGCAACCAGATGAATAGATGATGCAGTAGCAAAGAAAAGTATTTCAAAATAGTAGAATGTCAGCATTTTGTCAGATCTAAGATGCTCTAGCAGTGGTCAAGGATAAATGGAACACTTAGTTAAGAAAGGGACTAAGATGAAAGAACAAAAACATTGCTGAATACTCCTACATAAGTATTGCGCAGAGTTCCGGAGCTACTTATTGTTATGCACAAACTAAACACTGTCTGCACTTCTTCTCCCCCGTGCCAAATTTAAAATGTTACAATAGAAATAAAAGCAACAACAACAACAACAACAACCCAGTATAATCCCACTAGTGGGGTCTGGGGAGGGTAGTGTGTACGCAGACCTTACCCTACCCTGGGGTAGAGAGGCTGTTTCCGATAGACCCTCGGCTCCCTCCCTCCAAGAACTCCCCACCTTGCTCTTGGGGTGACTCGAACTCACAACCTCTTGGTTGGAAGTGGAGGGTGCTCACCACTAGAGCAACCCACTCTTGTCACAATAGAAATAAAAGCAAATTCCAAAAATAAAAAGGGTGACAAACTGAGATCTATCCTCCCAGCTATGCCCTCATTTCCACATTGATGCAGTTTGTTTGAAGGTGAGATTCTTTTTTCATGACTGTTCGCCTGATGACTCTTCTACCTCACTTTGCACCTATCCTGCTACACTCCAGTCTCCTCCCTCAATCACTTGTCAAAGAATCTCTGCCATTTACTGTCCTCAAATGCACACTCCTGCTTTTGAGCTATTTATCTCATGTGCAAACTAAAAGTTGTCTAAAGATTCTCCTTGTCAGCCAAAAACAAAATAATGAAAGTGGACGAACTTTTGAAAGCAAAAGGTGACAGTTTTGAAAGCAAAAGATGACTTAAAAGTAAGAGATAAAAGAAGAATGCTAGGTTACATTGGGAAAGAATATATTTTAAATCTGAAAAGAGTAGAAGCCCACCACACGTTTACTCAACATTCGACCATTTCCCAAAAGGATGGATAAACCTAGTAGAAAGCCACATAGTTCAAATCTAAAAGGAATAGAACCCACTTGATCCAGCAAAACTTGAGGAAAATGGAGAACAACTTGAAAATGATCTGAGAAAATGCATGGGGTGATCTCTTGTACTATATAAGGAAATGTCTCATTCTACTGAAGAAAGGAAGCAATATGTGCAAGTTTGCAATTGGATAATGTCCTAGCCTACACCAAGCGAATTGAGTATTGGTAAGAGGAATATCCCTTACGTCACAATCTCGAGTGACAATATCAAAACCTCTCAAACTACTGTTAACCCTGATCCTGAAATTTTCTCATTAGTACTCCTAATGAGCCTAAAATTCCCACCAAAAACCCACTTGTTAGAACAAAGACGAAAAATAAAATTTTAGCTCATCCTAGAAGCTACCATGATCACCTGGCCTTTTTGACCTATAAATGGAGCTAAACCCGACAAGAACTTCTGCTGTCCACATCAAGCTAAACGACACAGAAATATTCCACAAAAGTCACTCTAAAATGGTAGCAAAGCGTGGGGAATACAATCAAATGTTTCTTGGAAGATCACTCCCTACTTAGCCCTACCGAAAAGAAAAGGAAAATGATAGAAATAAAAAAGTAAGTAGAGCCACCTTCACCTTTTTATCGCCTCGGCTAAGAATTTCAAAAACTCCAAAAGAGATAGAAGAGACAAGAAGACACGAGACACACTGAGGAGTGCTGCTAGAGGAGAACAGAGAAAAGAGACAAGCAGAAAGAGAGGAAGAAGAGGGTGAACACAGACAAAAAGGGGGTCACCATTTGTTAACTGAGTTCCCAGTCCAACTTTTGACTTTCGATGCAAAAAGGAGATTTTCCAAATAAATTAAATTCATTATTAGATTTTGTGCATTATGGTGTGATGGAAGCACCAGATTGTAGGTGTGACACTGTGATGATTTAAGATGTTAAAAGGAACGAGGTAGAATTTTTTTATTTTTTATAAGGTAGATAATTTTCTCAATGTTGGGAACATCTCCCATATACTAGTTTACTAAAAAGTAGAGAACATACCAAAAGATGTGATTCTTTACAAATTACACTCAATCTTTATACAAACCAGAACCTCATGGATGCATCAAAAGGAAACTAGAATAAGAGGCTATTCCTTCAAATTTACAAAGTCATTTTCTGTCCCATTAAAAGCACTCTTAAAATCACGTAGAAGGAAGTCACCATCTCTCTGAATTTATGTGGACTTAGCAAGCAAAAGATAGACTATAATTAAAATGGAAGCAAAAGATCTACAGAGGTGATACCAATAATTGGTATTAAGATGTAATCAGATTGATAAACTTACACTAGATCTGGTGTTTCCAAGAGCCTTTTTTTTAGTATATTTAGAGATTTGTATGCCAGAATGTCAAACCCCAAATTATTGAGTGTTAGTATGGAACTGGTCCAAATAGAGCGAAATAGATGTTGCATTCATATAACCAACTCCCGCTAGTTTGAGATTAAGGCATACTAATAGTTGCTCTTGTGCAGTAATGATAGAAGCAGTAAAACAAAGTTATTGGAGTAGGTGACATGATACATTCGCAGCAAATACATAGTGTCATATGAGAGAAGAAATTGTAGATAAAATGTTGGTGTAATCCTTTAACAGAAGGACACAAAAATCAACTTTCACAGAGATTCAGACTTCTCCTCTGTTAATTTATGGAATACGGTACTACTGGGTAAAGAATTATAACCAGCATGTGCATGAGGCAGAATAGCCTCATCTGCTCCCTTTGATAGAAGTATGATATTTCCATTTTGGCAGTCCCTGACCACCAGAGACATCCTTTTTCTGTCAGAAGTGAACTCTAGGGTATCCAACACTTCATACTGGACCAATGAAGCATTAAAATTGATATCTGCGTGAGAAAAGAAGGTTTCAAGAGAAGAATATTACAATTATATAAAAAATGTAAATAGTATTGCTGCTTTCCTCACACAGATTCATACCAAGAATATTCCCTTTCTTTTCAAGAAAAATCATATTTAAGCGAGCTGCAGCACGCACAAGCGCTTCCTCATCTTGAGATTGTGCCTTGTATGAAATTGCTCCAGCTTTGCTATGGGCAGTAATGGAAGAAATATGAAAGTTAATGAAAGAAAAATAATTATAAGGTACCAGGAAACAGAATTCTACTACAGAAAGAAAACAGAGACACCAATAATAGACAAATCATCCAATACCTTTGTACAGGAACTACTGTGTTACATATTGCCATGACAATAAGAAATCGGATAGCATCTGGGGAACCAGCGGCAAGAGCTTTAAGCAGCTCTGAATCTGCACGAGAAACAAAGTTTTGTTTAACCTTCTTTTTTTGCGAGAAGGGTAATCGATAAGGAAAAAGAGTATGGAGAACACATTAGTTCTCAACCCAGAGAAAGAGGAAAATCAGATAAGGAAAGGTCAAAATAAGTTGAAGATGATGCAAAGAAGAGAGACTACTTTTTGTGAAAGATATTATAGTCCTCCCTAGGATCAAAAGTTTGAAGTTGTTTTGATCAATAGATTTGCATGACACAGAAGAGAGCAGTAAAAACTTCCAGCTGGAACTAACAATGTTATCCAGATATACAAAATGCAAGCCCATACTAGCTAAACATTCTAAAACATGGAAGCAACTATCTAAATCCCAAGCTTTAGAATTGAGTAAGGTCCTGTATGTTTGTTTTATGCAATGCTAATTATCTGCATACTTCACATGCTCAAGTTGTAGGGTACCCACTTGAGGAGTCTCCCTCATTTCAAACAGAGAGTAAACACAGTTTGGATTGACAGGAAAAGGAAAAGAAAGAGCTGGAAAATACCTTTTTCTGAACTTTTGCCGCATCAGGCAAGCAGCAGAGTTGTGAGAAAAGCAGACAAGCAGCCACTTTTTCGTACTTTTTTTTTTTTCAAAAGAAGCAAAGTAGCGAAATCATGGGTCACTCTGAAACTTAACTCAAAACCCAAGACTAACAAAAATAGTATTTTGTACTAAACAAGAGCTTGCAGAAAGAAGATAGCTACTTTTTTTATAACCGTCATATCCGGGCCAGCTTACACGCACCTCGACTAATTCAACAGGGTACCTGCTACCTCCTACCATTACAGGTACCGTGTAACTCTATCCACCAAGGCTTGGACAGAAGAGAAGAAATCACCTAGCGTTTTTGCCTCCACTGGGATTTGAACCTGAGACCTCATGGTTTTCAACCCACTTCATTGACCACTAGGCCACGCTCTTGGGTGCGAAAGCTAGCTACCGATTTAAACATCTCAATAAGATAACCAAGGAAAAAGCTAAATAGAGGTGGATGTAGAATAATAGAAAAATAGATCTATAACTCTTAGGATTGTGGATTGCCCTACACTAAGCACCTTGTATCTCAACCAGTACTAAAATCTGCTCGCAATTCATTTGGATAATAGTCTAAAATCAAGTCTTTTTCCAATTTATAGCCATCTTGAAACACCAAAGTAGGATCTCAAATAGCACATTGGAAAGCTGAAAGCATTTTAATGGGTACATGAAATTCATTAGTGTGGGTAATTGAGTTCACATCAGGTCGTACTCCAAGTTATCTAGACTCTGTTTCTGTATCTATTTCTTTGACAGCATGTATACTATTAAAACTGGAAAAAAGTTGAAAATACACGAGTCAATAATAGATAACTCACGGAAAATATAACTAAGGCCTTACCCTTTAAAGCATCTCCATTTTCACTCCCATAGAAGGTTCCACCAAAAAAACATCTTTTAAAGATCATCTTGTTCTCAGTAAGCGTCCCAGTTTTATCAGTCAATATATATTCTACTTGCCCCAAATCCTCACTAATTGCTGTGCTGCCATGAAAGAGAAAGAAGATACATAAACCAATGGAATAGCAAATATGCTAGCAAACAAAAATTAAAACTAAGACAATGTTTCTTACTTTGTTGCACGGGATGGAGTACCAGTTTCTGGATCAACCATCTCATTGTCCCAATCAATGAACTTGGCATATAAGCTTTTCACAAGATCCAGTGATACCTATCAAAAAGAACAAACACACATTTGAAGCCATATATCTTCTAATCCAAAAGGAAAAGGTACACTTCTAATTGCATAAATTAACCTTGTCAATTTTATTTTTAAAATTTAAAAACTTAAATTGGAAGCATTATCATACCTATCCTTGTAAAGTTGCATATATTTACTTTTATGTCTATACCACTACAATAGCATGAATAGAGATCATACCCTACATTTTTGTGTCAACAGTTACCCTCAGTTTGTATATTGGTTCAACAAGAATTATTTCAGTTAGAATAAATAGAACTAAAAATATGTTCTTTTTCCTCTTAAAGGTTGAGAAAGAATTCAATCACCTACTGCCATTCAGGGGCGGACCCACCTTATAGTAAGGGAGTTCAATTGAACCCGCTTCATCGAAAAAATTAATTATTTTCACCTGTTAACTTCATCAGAAAATCATGAAAAAGATCGGATTATAAGACATGAACCCACTTGACACAAATGGAAGCTGCAGAGTAGGGGCAAAGAGTGTTCATAATGGAGGCAGAGGTCAAAAGTTCGAATCTCTGATGCGGCTAACTTATGTGTGTTCCAGATTTCATTTCATGCTCCAGTTCATTACTTTGTTATACACTAATATACTATTTTACCTGTTATCTTTTTGTTTTCATCACCTATTGTTACCTTGTATCCATAATAGCTATTTTTATTAAACTCTATTTTACTTCAAAAAAAAAAAAAAAAAA